GACCCGTTCGGCCACTCCCGAGAACAGGCCTCCCTATTCGCGCAGTTCAACTTCGACGGCCTATTCTTCTCGCGCCTGGACTACGAGGACAGGGATAGGAGGGTCAGGGATAAGGAGCTGGAGATGGTGTGGACGGGTAGCGATGATTTGACAGCCGGAAAGTCGGATATATTTACCGGTGCCATGTATTTGGGTTATGGTATGCGACAGTTTTATTGTTTAGTGATATTATTGGGATACCTGTGCCCGCTGTTTATGATGTAGTTTTGTATTAATATAGTGTATAGAGTTTGGGGGAATTTCTAATGAATTATATTTTCTATCAAATACAGTATATTTAGCGCAAAACAAAAGCTATTATACACCGCCTATGAGCTCGCAATGTATAATAAAATTATTAACAAAAATGATTTAAAAGTAGTAAATGTTCACAAATATGAACAGTTAAATACAAATCAAAAATTAATACACAAATAAACTGTAGTTTACTTGCTAATAAACAGACAATTAATCACAAGCACCAATCATAAATCAACACAAACTAACACCAAGGTGCATAAGTTATTACCATTTAATTAACAGGCAATACGACGGCATTTTGCTGGGACTTAGTCGGCTGCAAAGCGGACTCACTTCAAAACGACCCGATCATCGACGACCCGGACTCCGAGGACTACAACGTGGACCGCGTGGTCGACCAGTTCGTGGCATACATGCGCTCATACGCCGCGATGTACGCCACGAATCACGCGATGTATCCGTTGGGCGAAGACTTTCAGTACATGTCTGGCAACTCGTGGTTCAAAAACACCGATAAACTCATCCGTTATGTGAACGCAAAACAGGACAAAATACGGCTCCTGTACTCCACGCCGGCCTGTTATCTCAAGTCCCTTCACGAGGCCAACCATACGTTCCCCACAAAAAGGGACGACTTTTTCCCGTACGCGTCGGACCCGCACGCCTACTGGACGGGCTATTTCACGAGTCGCCCGGCCCTCAAACGCTACGAACGGGTGGGCAATAATTTCCTGCAAATATGCAAACAGCTGGACGTGCTGTCCGGTGCTACCGGTGCTAATGAGCCGCTGGTGACCCCATTGAGGGAGTGGATGGGTGTTATGCAACATCACGACGCCGTCGCCGGCACTGAGAAGCAACACGTGGCCGACGATTACGCCCTAAAACTGTACAAAAGTATCGCGAAGTGTCAGCACGTGGTGGCCGATGGGCTGAGCAAACTGTCCGCCAAACAGGTGTCGGCGCCCAAAGTGGAGCCCCTGTTCTGTGAGCACCTGAACGTCAGCGCCTGTCCGGTCACCGAGTCGGACGACCCCCTACTGACTGTTACGGTGTATAACCCGATGGGTCGCGCCATCAACCATACGGTGCGACTGCCAGTCACTAACAAAATGTTTCACGTCGTCGACCCCGCGGGACAGTCGGTCGACTCGCATGTCGTTCCCATACCGGCGCCGGTGCTCTCAATTCCCGAGAGAGTGAGTAAAGCCAGGGATGAGCTGGTGTTTGAGGCGGAAGTGCCGGCGCTCGGATTCGCCACATATCTCGTCCATCAAAATAGCGTTAACTCCGGGTCTGTGGCGCCGGTTGTCCGCAAAATAACGGACAGTTTTTCTGCGAAAGCCAACAGTTTTGACGTAATGTTTGACAAAACGGGAAAAGTGTTGGCGCTTCGGCTCAAGAGTGGACAGACAGTGGGACTGACTCAAGACTTCGCGTACTATAAGTCAATGCCGGGTAATAACACGAGACCGGAGCTCAGGGCGTCCGGCGCCTACGTTTTCCGACCGGACGGCCAGTCTATAGCCTATAATAATAGCGAGTTTGAGGCCAAAGTCGTGGAAACACCGGCGCTGACGGAAGTCCACCAGAAAATCAATTCGTACATAAGTCAAGTGATTCGTGTCCACCGGGACAGGGATTACGTCGAGTTTGACTACGTGTGCGGACCCATACCGGTGCTGAGCGACGGCGTCGGCAAAGAGATCATCGCCCGGTTCGCCACAAATCTCACCACAAATGCCGTGTTTTATACGGACTCTAACGGCCGGCAACTCATGAGACGGGAGCGCAACCGACGGCCCACTTGGCCCCTGACGGTCACCGAACCCATCGCCGGCAACTACTACCCCGTGAACACCCGGATAGCTCTGAAGGACGAGTTACAGGCGCTGCAGATGACTGTGTTGAACGATAGAGCACAGGGAGGCTCGAGTATGACGGACGGCGCCATTGAGCTCATGATCCACAGGCGGACTCTATTTGACGACAGGTTTGGTGTCAACGAAGCGATCAATGAGACGGGAGTTGGCGGACAGGGACTGGTCATTAGGGGTCAGATGCGAGTCATGTTGTCCAGTATTGAGACATCGGCTGAACAGCACCGGGAGTTGGCTCAGCGGCTATACATGGAGCCATTGATAACGTTTGGCAGATATAACGGCACTCAAGAGGAATACCTAAAGGACTATAAGACTAAATACTCGGCGCTAACGCAGGAGTTACCCAAAAATGTCCACTTATTAACGTTAGAGGAGTGGACGGGTAGTAACGGGACGGTAGTGTTGCTGCGTTTGGAGCACTTCTATCAGTCCAATGAGTCGCGATCCCTGTCCGCGCCGGTAGTCCTATCGCTGGACAGACTGTTCGCGCCGTTCGTTATCAGCGAAGCCGCGGAACAGACGTTGGGCGCCAATGAAGGCGTGGATGCGTTGAAAAATCGGTTCAAATTTAATGTGAAAACCGATGAAAAAGATTTGTTTGTGAAAAATGTGCTCCAATTTAGCGATGAGTTGAATGCGATTAATGTGAATGAATTGACGGTCACTTTGAATCCAATGGAAATCAAAACTTTTATTATAAAAATTACGCCAAAAAGCGATTTATAATATGAAAGTACATTTAGTTCTATACTGATTTGATTAAGTTTTCACTATGTTTTCATATTTGTCAAAATGATTATCAATAATGTTGTTAAAAATTCATATAAAATACTTAAAATAAAGTCAAACTATTGTATCAAAAAAAGTAAACCACTATTGAGATATTCATACAATTCATATCCAGTCATAACAGTACTAACTTTACAACTATTAAAACATTCAGTAATCAAATAAATAATACAGTAAATAATAAATACAACAAATATGTAAAAGTAAATACAAAGAAATCATTTTTTGACTAAAATAAAAATGCATAAAAAAGTAAAATAATGTAAAAGTATATCCAATACTCAAAAAAAACTTAACATATTTTCGTCGTTAACTACAAATTGCCGTAATTTAAGGCATTTGTCAATCAGATTATAAACAGAGGTTTTGGTAGTTTCCACAATACCTTCAAGTTTCAGAGTTTGTAGTCTCGGGACATTTGACAACCAATTCAGCGATACATCAGTTATAAAGACATTAGAGAGCATTAGGCACTGAATTCGTGGCAAATATTTTCCACAATCCGTAAAAAACGAGTCTTTGATCACAACATTAGACTCGAAGTTATTGACCGAAAAATGTGTCAATCGTTTGCAATCCAATAGTGATTTGCATACGATTTCAGAGACATTCATAAACTCACCGCTAATTTCCAAACGATTTAATCCGCGAAATGATTTGTCAATTGTTTTCAACATTTCCCGAAACTCGTGGTCAGTATCAACAGAAAAGCAAAGACTCAAACTTTTCAACCGCCGACAGTTGAGACCAATCTGTTTCAATTGAATCGCCTTTAAACCACTGTTGGACTCCATGGCCAGTGAGGGGAACGTTAGCTTAAGATATCTTAAGGAGGTGGTTTGCGATAAGCATAGCATTAGGTTATAAGTAGAGTTGTGGTCACAGCTGTCATCCACGGAGACATCAATAGACTTGAGAATAGTTTTATAAGTTTTAGTAAAAATCGGGAAATTCATGGAGTCTTCAAACGTCAAGTTATAGCGAAGTGTTTGCAGTCTTTTCAGTAAAACTTTGCCCACATTATCATCACTGATGGCCAATAGATCCTCGACTCCAATAGCGGTGAAGTGTTTTGTGTCCACTAATGACAGGTTTGGACATAATTTCAAGTTTTCAATAATCGGTTCAGTGTTTTGATAATAAGAGGATAACACAAGACTTGACAGACGTCTGCCAAATGTGTCGAAGAAGTGGTTAATGAGTCCGTCGCTAATATCTTCTGAGTCCCAATAAAAGTGTCGCAAATGTGGACAATAAGTGATAATGAGATCCAAAAACTTGTCTTTCAAGCCATACTTCCACTCAATTCGCGACACATTTAAACATTTAGTGAGAATTGACTGCAAAACTGTTTCCGATATTTCGGCTGTCGATCCATTGGTGTCCAAACCCTGGCCGCAGAGTAGGAGATCTGTCTGTCCATTGAATATCACTCTCTGGAACTGTTTGGACACTGATTCGCAACGAATGCAGTCTTCGAGTGACAGATAACTCAGGAGTACTTCAGACAAGTCGTCGCCGAACCGATCGAAAGAGCTTTTGTCAAAACTTTCGGTCATTTTGTACAAATAAAAAGTAACTATAATTTCATTAAATGATTATTTGTTAAAAATTAGTTAAAATATACGATAAATTAAAATAGATTTTTAAAAACATGTGCTCATTATGTGAGCGAAAGTATGACTGCTTATAATGTATAGATTATCATGACTTTTATGTGCAAATTATTAATTTATATCTCAAACTTAATAAGCGTATAAAATATAGTGTATTTCCATATAATTGGTGACAATTGAATTATAACTTTTTCAATGTCTAGCTGTAACTGGTTGAAAGTAATGTTTAAATTTTAAAGTTTATAAAGTTCAGTTAAACCCACTACTAATAAAACTAATGCATAAAATAATAGATTTCATTGTTTGATAACTTTATCTAATTCTAACTTTTTAGAGGTAATAAACTATCACCAATAAAATAATACAATTGACTTTATAAATGAATTTTAATCACTTTAACTTTAAAGTATAATATTTTAATCATTTAATTCTATTTATTTATTCTAAACTAAATAATTGTCAAAATTATCAACTTTTATCAAATATAATTTAATTTGTTAAATATTAATTATTAAATATTATTAAGCATTTTAACATCACTGATAACATTATATTGTCTTTCTAAATAGTTTGAATAAAATGTATTTATATTAATTTACCCAGTATAAATAATATAATTTTGTTAATTTCATATCTATTCGATATTTTGTTTAAATACTTTTAAAATATTATATATTTAAATATTGATTAATATATGCATTGCAGTAAAGTGTCTTTTGAGGGGCAAAGTATCATTTGCATGAAACTTATACTGTATTAAACAATAAATAAGCATTATTTAACACAATGTAATCTAAATTATGGCCTAGTTCAATTTAAACTAATTAGATTCTGTAAATTATTTTTTAGATAGGAAAGTATTGTGTTAGAAATTGAAATGTTTTAAGACAAATTGGTTATATTTATTAATACTGTAATAAATACTGTAAATAAGGGATATGTATGTTTGTTCTTATGATAACATAATCACGAGATGTTTATTAGATATTTGAATATCAAATACAGTATATTTAGACACAAGATATCAATTCATTCACCGGATATTTAAAGATTGGCATTTAGGGATTAAATATTTTGGTCAAAATAAGGGATTAACTAATATCATGTTATGTTAAGATTATCATATACAAAAACATTTTAAATTCCTATATAAAGGGAAATATTGTTTAGAATATTGTTTTATGAAAGTATTTCTTAAACAGTCGAATGATCAGTGCTTTTGGAAAATAAATTAATATTTCAAGTGATCAGTGATTACTCTATTATTAAATAAATTGTAATTATAATTGTGTTTTAAAAGAATGCCTCAAATGTATAGAAAAGACAGTTTCGACAGATTTGGTGATGATTTATGTGAAGTATTGTTGAGTTACCTATCATTTGACGAAAGTTTCCGATTTGAAAGCGTTTGCAAGCAATGGCAACGATTGGTGTTTAATAAGCAATTTACTTTTAAGGAAATGTTTTGGACAATAGATGCAAAGGTTTTTGAATCGATTGTTAAAAAGTGTTCAAATGTTAGACAAATATGTTGGTATGACGATGAATTGTGTGTTAATTCAATGTTTGAATTAATTATCAAATATTGCAGTCATTTGACTGAAATCGGTGTCAATATTAATGAAGACTTAAGTGCGGAAACAATTGACAAATTTTTCGCAAAGTTTGCCAAACAATTGAAATCTATAGACTTGGATGGCTTTGTGAACAAATCCACTGAAATGCTAATCAAGACTAATGCCAAGCTTTGCACAAATCTTACACACATTTCCTATTGTAATATAACCGATGATTCGTTTAAAATATTTGATGTTTTGTGTCAAACAAATGATGTGTTGTTTAAAAAGCTTACAAAATGTGAGTTATATGTGAAGAAAGAAGACGTGCTTTCAGTTGAGATGTTTTTCAGTTTATATTCAAACATAAAATCAATTTTTATTTTATTGGACTTCTTATGGGATGAAAAGTCAATGCATACAGTAATGAGTGGTTTGTCACAAATGAAACAATTAATTGATTTACAAGTTAATTACCAGGATGCAATTTACGATACAAAGGTTGATATTTTTACAAATGATTTCAAGCAAATTGGTGTTTCATGCAAAAAACTAAAAAGACTTCGTTTGACATTTCGTGAAGTTTATATGAAAATCATACCAACTATTAATGAAAACTTTAAACATATTCAACGTTTGCTAATTGAAGGGCACTTTCCAAGTGTATTATCGTGCGATTCATTAAACCAATGCAAAAGATTAACGCATTTAGAGATTATGTTTAAAATTGAATTTTCTATAGATTATTGCGAAAGATGTAAACAATATGTGTCAATGAGAGACTCGTTTAAGAAAAATATTGATTCAAACTTTCCTAAACTTAAATATTTATCACTCAAATGATTTCTTAATCATACATTCATGTTGTAAAATGAAATAAATGTATAAATGTATTGACATTCAATGTTTTATAATGAATGCATACTTTCACTACAAACTGATAAAATGTTTTTAATAAAAATAATACTTTAACTTCATTGTATTATACGAGTAAATTATATTTCATATGTGAAGTCCTCCTGAGTTTGTCCAAACAGTTCCAGAGAGTGATATTCAATGGACAGACAGATCTCATACTCTGCGGCCAGGGTTTGGACACCAGAGGACCGACACTTGAAATATCGGAAAGAGTTTTGCAGTCAATTCTCACTAAATGTTTAAATGTGTCGCGAATTGAGTGGAAGTATGGCTTAAAAGACGAGTTTTTGGATCTGATTATCACTTATTGTCCACATTTGCGACACTTTTATTGGGACTCAGAAGAGATCAGCGACGGACTCATTAAACACTTCTTCGACACATTTGGCAGACGTCTGACAAGTCTTGTGTTATCCTCTTATTATCAAAACACTGAACCGATTATTGAAAACTTGAAATTATGTCCAAACCTGTCATTAGTGGACACAAAACACTTCAGCGCTATTGGAGTCGAGGATCTGTTGGCCATCAGTGATGATAATGTGGGCAAAGTTTTACTGATAAGACTGCAAACAATTCGCTATAACTAGACGTTTGAAGACTTCATGAATTTCCCGATTTTTAGTAAAACTTATAAAACTATTCTCAAGTCTATTAATGTCTACATATGATATTTTTAAAAGTGTTACAATGTCTCAAATCTACAGTAAATATAGTTTCGACAGATTTGGAGACGATTTGTGTGAAATCTTACTGACATATCTGTCAATTGAATATCGGTTCCGATTTGAATGTGTGTCCAAACAATGGCAACGATTAATATTCACCACACAATCGGAGCTTCAAA